TGTTATACAACTCTGTACATTTCTGTTATAAACTATGTGATTGACTCCATTTTGTAACCAGAATAGCCATTCTATTATATACCTCTGTATGTTTCCACTGTAACTTTATTAAGGAGGACTGTTTGGCATAAGCTTACATGTGGCTCAAGCTGTCCGTCTGGCCTCTGAACACAGTTTTGTTAATGTTCAAAATATTCTTTTGTTCTGAGCTACAGACTGTTAAAAGCAGTCTACACAAAGTTTCCTGTGATCAGCCTCATATCCTAAGATACCTTTCTGTTCCAAGGACAAGTCCCTGTTCACAATGTTTCTTGTGATCAGTCCCATATCTTAAGGTAATAACTCTCTGTTCTAAGGATAACTAGCCGTTCCCAAAATTATCTCGATACCTTTTTGTGACATCCTGTGATCAACACCATGCCATAAGAATTATTTGTTCCTAAAAATTGTAACCGCATGTTAAAAGAATGTAACCTGTTTCCTGTAAGTGGACGCTGACCCCAGTGCTGCATTCCCTCGCGCTCAAGTCCCCCCACCCCTTTGTGGTTTTCAGCTTTAAAAACCCTTGTCTCTCCCCACCTCAGCGGGCACGCACAGATTTGGAGACAAGAGTGTGTGCCGCCACCGAGCTCAGCTAAATAAAGCGCTTTTAAGTTGAGTCCGGTTTTAGATTTTTGGGTTACAACAAGGCCCTTTTGCTTGGCAGGGAAGCGCTTATTCTACTGAGCCATCTCCCTGGCCCCCAAATTTCCTACTCTTAAACTCCATTGTTCCTCAGAATTTATTCTTTGATTTTAGGAAACGTGAACTCAGCATATCAGACATCTAGCAGGTTGGAAGTTACAATACTTACCTTATATCATTTGGAGGTCCTATATAGTTCCTACAATATTGAGACCCTATCTCAAAAACAAAATAAAAGGGGTCGGGGAGATGGCTCAGTAGAATAAGCGCTTGCCTGGCAAGCACAAGAGCCTGAGTTCAATCCCTGGTTCTGCAAAAAACAAAACAAAATAAAAAGTGGATAAAATGAGCTGAGGGTGAAGCTCAGCGGTAGACCACTTATCAAATATGCATGAGGCTCATGCTTAAAGCAATAAATTTTACATTATATATATTTAACAACACACTTAGAAAAGGTAAGCATATGCTATTTCCTTTTTTTCCCAGCATCTTCAATTGTCATCAAGGTTTTGTTCTTTAATGTTCTAAGAAAAATAATTTTTTTTTTTTTTTTGCAGAACCGGGTTTTGAACTCAGGTCCTTGTGTTTGCCAGGCAAGCACTTATTCCACTGAGCCATCTCCCCGGCCTCAATAATTTAAATTTTTAGCATAAATTTCACCCACATTATATTCTTGTGTTTGTTCTTCATTGTGAGAAAATACCTGAATGTTTCTTCGGACTCAGTTTTGGTGGTTCCGGTCTAGGTCAGTTGCCTGCTGCTTTTGGCCCTGTGGTGAGGCACCACGTTCTGGTGAGAGCTCAGGATGGAGGAAGCTGTTTAGCTGGGCACAGCCGAAAGCAGAGAGGAAGAGCCGGGGCCCCGATGACCTCACTTCCTTCCGCTGGCACCCACCTCCTAAAACTCAGAGCTTCCGACGTTGAATCCTCAGTGCCACCGAAGCGGGGTGTGAGGCACTACGGAGCTCGGCAGTAGAATGCTTGCCTAGCAGGCGCAAGGCCCTCAGTTGTCTACGGCAAATCCTAAAAAGGGGAATTTCAGTATTACGTCTGTAGTACCACATCTGTAGCGCAGGGTCCTTCCAAGTTCAGGATCACTGGGCTGGGGATTTGGCTCAGCGGTAGAATGCTTGCCTAGCAAGCTAGAAGTCCTGGGATTGATCCTCAGAACCAACAAAACAAAAGAAAAAACCTCCTCCAAGTTCAGGATCACTTGCCAATGAACCTAGGTTTGTTCCTCAGGGGAAAAAACGGGGGTTTGGAGTATTCCTTTTTTTTTTTTGGTCAGAATCAGGGATTGAACTCAGGCCCTTGCGCTTGCCAGGGAAGCGCTTATTCCACTGAGCCATCTCCCTGGCCCCTTAGAGTATTCTTTAAAAGGTCCCCACACCTCCAGAAATCTTAGAAAACCCGCCACTGGAGAAGGTGGAGGCAGTCTGTCCCCATCTCTTCCACCTCCCTGCTCACCTCACTGCTGGGTGCTCTGTGAGGTTGGAAAATCCTGGACTGTGAATTCTCAGGTTTGATAAAAGGAATTCAGAAGTCACCTTCCGTAGTACGTAAGGAGCAGTGTTCCCCTAGTTGCTCGCTTCGGCCGGCAGGCACGCAGCAGTCTGTAGATTGGCCCCTGCAGGCTGGGAGGGGGTTGGGCGGCGGGGGAGGACACCCGCCTTTCCTCCCAGCCGCTCCCCGCAGAGAACACCGGACATGGAGGTGGTCTTCTATTTCCTACGTTCTTACGGGGAGTATGGATTGGGGCTGATGTGTATTTTCTTGGTAGAGGTCTCAGGCTGTGTCTGGGCCAAACCGGCATGTTTTTCTTGGACTAAAAAGTTTGCTTTGAGCAGGGCCTGGATCCTATTAAGGAGGATTATCCTCCAGCTGCTCATGTGAACGCATGTTGCACCGAGTACCTTTCTGAGTTTTCAACTTGAGCAGATCCCTTTCCACTTCCTGTGCTGTGGAGACCCCAGGGCGGCTCCCCAGAACACAGCACATGGGTCTTCCTTGGGGGTGGCTAACGATGCCACCTAGCTAGACAGGCGATGGACAACCGCAGTGCTGCGCGCTTTGTCTGAGTGCAAATGGGCTGGGAAATAGCTCAGTAGAGGGTGAGTAGGATTTGTTCTAGTGTTATAGATTAGTAAAGGATTTTGAAGGAAAAGCAACCAGTCCTCTGCCCAATTTTGAAGGGTTTTTCCTTGTTTCTGTGGTGCTGATTACTGAATACAGGGCTCTATGCCCATCCCTAAGCAAGCTGTTCCACCGTGTCATAGTCTCAGAACCCCCCACCCCCCAATGGGGATTGAACTCAGGCCCCTGCACTTGGGCGGCAAGCGCTTATTCTACTGAGCCATTTCCGGGCCCCCGGCCTTGAAGTTGTGATCCTCCTTCCTCAGCCTCCCAATAGGCTCCACACCTGGCAAAGGTATCTCATTTCACATGTCATGACCCTTTTGGGAAGAGTTCACCTGTTCAAAACATTTACTTTATTTATTTATTTATTTATTTATTTATTTATTTATTTTTG